TAACAAGATGTCTTGGTTGCTTGTATTTCTTAGAACACCACTGCCATCTTAGCAAGTTCTAGTTCAAATGGCTTCTGGGGGCTGTTAGTGCCCCTACTTACTCAGCATAGAAGTAACACACCTTTACACACTTTGAGTGTCACTGAACTCTTGACGTATCATGGATCCACTGGAATTCAGTGCTCATGAGATGTCATGAATGGTATGTGTGAATGGGGCAACAAGGAATAGTGAACACCTATATTACTCATTTTTTCTCTGCTCACACTCATGCTCCATTATTCCATCAGATTCCCCTTAAAAAAGCACAAGTTTAGCCCTGGCCAGTTTGGCTCAGTGGATAGAGCCTCAGCCTGTGGACTCAAGGGTCCCAGGTTCGATTCTGGCCAAGGGCACATGCTGGGATTGCAGGCTCGATCCCCAATCGGGAGGCAGCCGATCGATGATTCTCTCTCATCATTGATGTTTCTGACTCTCCCTCTCCCTTCCTCTCTGAAATCAATAAAAAAATATATTTTAAAAAAGCATAAGTTTAAGATGTTTTATACAATTTGTTACATGTATACCTAAGTATTTAATTTTTTGGAATAATAATGGAAGTGATATTATGTTCTGATTTTAAATTCCACTTATTAATTGTTCATATGCACAAAACAATTGACTTTTGTATACCGGTATTAACTTTGTATCCTGCCACTATACTGTAACTGCTTATTAGTTCAGTAGTTTTTTGGTTGTTGTTGATTCTTTCAGATTTTCTGACATGATGACATGATCATCTATGAAAAAAGACAGTGTTATTTCTTTACTTCAGTCTGTTAACCTTTTACTTCCTTTTGTCTTATTGCACTATCTAGGATTTCCAGCACGATGTTGAAACTTCTTTGGACTTTTAAAATAACAAACTACTTTAGACTAACCCATTCTTTGAATTAAATGTGGAGCTTTGTATTCTGCTTAACTCTCATCCTGTCAATGAGGTCCATCATTCAGCCTTGCCAGATATTTCTTGACTTGATTCCCTCATCTTTTTGTGTTCACTATTCTTTCCATCTTCTGTGTCTTCCTCCAAATCAATTAAAACATTTTTTGGGTGGAGGGGGAAAACCAGGAAGATCAAGTACAGCATCCTGAAATATGCTAGTAGAAACATTATCAGATATAGTTCTGCAATGGACCTATCAAATCCATTTACCATCTTTCAACATATTTCATTAAGAACTATATAGAATGGGAGAGTCTCTCTGAAACCCCTGCAGACATCCAGATGCACTAGTACTATGTCATTCTGCCCCGATGCCTCTGGATTGAGTTCATACCTATTTCTTTAGTTAAAAGATGTATTTTTATTGATTTCAGAGAGGAATGGAGTGGGAGAGAGAGATAGAAACATCAATGATGAGAGATTGGCTGCCTCCTGCTATGACCTCTTGGTTCATAGGTCAATGCTCAACCCTGAGCCACACTGGCCAGACAAGTTCTTACCTATTTCTTGTTTTCTCTTATGGAATGGGTCTGAATATTCTTTATATATAGAACATTGTATTATAATTTTCCATTTGTTTGTTCTCCTTTATCTTTGTGTTATGAATATTTGAGGGCAGGGATTACATTCTATTTACATCTACATATCTAGAAACTGGCAACTATAACCCACCAGGTGTACCAGGAATTTTATACATGTATGTTAGGAGCTCTATACACTCTTGTAGATGTGTTGAATTCCACTTATACATTAGTCTAGTTCTCCCTTCAAAAAAGACAATAGGAGGGTGGGGGCATATGTGCTGGGGGACGGGAGCGGGTGGGAGAGGTCAATAGGGAAAAAAGGAGACCTATGTAAAACTTTCAACAATAAAGAATTAAAAAAGAAATAAAATTAGCTTCTCAAGGCATTGTTAATTAATGTATATTGAGCCTTATGTAAAACCACTTTCTTTACTGATAAACTGTTTTAAAATATCCAATTATAAAAGCATAATATTCTTTCATATGCATGTGCCATAAGTAATTTAACTAATCCATATTGTTCAACATTTAGATTGCTTTAAATTTGTCATGGTTTTAAATATCACTGTGATGAGCATCCTTTATATAAATCTTTGACTAAATTTCTGTTTCCTTAGGATACACAACTAAAGGATAATTTGTTTTGTTAATGAGAATTAATGCTTTAAGGATAGAAAGATTGTACTAATTTACATTCTTATCAGCAAGGAATGAGAATGTTCATTAAAATGTACCTTTACTAATTGGCTTAATTATTACTGTGACATTTTGCTGATTTTAAAAATAATCTATTTTCTTTATTATTTTAATCAGCAGCTTAAGTTTCTATTGAGGTTGAAGATTAGTTAATTATCTATTAATTTCTATTAATTTCTATTAATTTCTATTAATTATCTGTGAATGTCTTTTGACCATTTTTTATTTACGTTTTGGTGTTTTTCAATTTTATACATATTTTATGTGCATAGAGATATGTGCATTAATATGCATAGGGAAATCTGGAATATTTAGAATGTGATTAAGATGGCATTTTATACTGTGAAAAATAATAGACTGTACAATAAATCATGTTATGAAAGATGGTTCTTTGGGAAATAAAAGTTAGAACTCTACTTTTACCATGAACAAAAAATAATCCTCAGCTCAAATGAAGAGCTAACAATATAAACAAAACTATAAATGAATTAGATGAAATAATATTTTTCACCTTTGAAATGGAGAGGGATTTTTTTTAAGACACAAAAGTAATTATCCAAATTCACTAAAGTAAAAGACCATGTTATCTTCATGAAAATATAGACCTTCTATGTGGCAAAGACAGATAAGCAAGCATAAAAAATAATGACAGAATGAGAGAAAATATGTGCAACAATAGAAACAGGCAAAGTATTATAATCTAGACTATATAAAGCCCTACCGGTTGACAAGAAAAAGAGAAGCAACCCAGTAGAAATTGAAATGGTTAACATATATAGAAAGATAATCAACCATATTAATAGATTAAGTACTCCCAGCTCTATTGCCTTCCCATTGCCTGCATATGAAATTCAAATTTCATATTTCCTTCCTTGATTTGGCTTTTGCCTCCCTTTCTGGCCTCATCCTAACCTCTGTTTCCATCCACAAACTTCACACATTAGGCATGAGGACCTCCTCAGCACTCGCAGCACAAACTTTGCTGTTTCTGATCTAACTGCCCTGACCCTGTCTGACATGCTACCTTGTTTGCCTGTTGAACACCTGCTCATACCTTAAAACAATGATTTCATCTACAGAAGCTTCCCTGCTACTACTCTATATCATCTATCTATCTATCTATCTATCTATCTATCTATCTATCTATCTATCTATCTTTCTCACTATGTATCTATCTCTCTATCTATCTATATCTATCTATCTATCATCTATCATCTATCACCTATCTACTATCTATTTATCTATCTATCTATCTATCTATCTATCATCTAATCTTCTATCATCTCTATCTATCTATCTATCTATCTATCTATCTATCTATCTATCTATCATCTATCATCTATCTATCTATCTAATCTATCTATCTATCTATCTATCTATATACATATATAAAATGCCTGGCACAAAAATGTACTGTCAATGCTTATTAAACTGACTCTAGCAATATCCCCTCTTCTAAGGGATTAAGTCAATGAAATGTAGACAGTTTAACCTGATAGTTAGATAAAATTAGTTAGATTAAAACTCATTTTCTCTTTAATCTTAGACTTTTAAACTTTCTTATTAACCTATTTTATTTTAAAATTCAATTTTTAATATAAAACCTCCTACTTATAAAAAAGTTTATAAAGTAAAAATGAAAAAGCATAATTAAATGACCCCTCATCCCGTTATGTAGGAGGACAACCAGAAGAGTGCATGTCACCAAAGGTGAGAAAGAACAGAGTTTAAGAACATAGGCAGTAGACAGCTACATTAAATGCCCCCAAGTTCAATACAAGTGAGGGCAAAAATGGTGCATTCATTTTGGCAATAAGAAGGTTCTCTGGTGACTTTTTCTAGGGCAGCTTTAGTTGAATTATGGAGGACAATTCATTAGGATAGAGATAATGAGGGAATAAGTGGAGACAGTGAAGGGGAACTATTCTTTAGAGCAACATACCCTGTTCAGTGTTTCTCAAACCATTGGGACCAAAGAGCAAGGCTGGCTGTTTCTGAGGTTTGCAAAACTCCCTTGTAAGAAGGTAAGTGAAGGCAGAGACATTTTTGTTTTGTTCATACTAAATTCACACTACCAATTAGCATAGTACAGCCGTGGGCAAACTACGGCCCACGGGCCGGATTCGGCCCGTTTGAAATGAATAAAACTAAAAAAAAAAAAAGACTGTACCCTTTTATGTAATGATGTTTACTTTGAATTTATATTAGTTCACACAAACACTCCATCCATGCTTTTGTTCCGGCCCTCCGGTCCAATTTAAGAACCCATTGTGGCCCTCGAGTCAAAAAGTTTGCCCACCCCTGGCATAGTACCTGGCACATACTAGATGCTGAAAAAATATTTGTAGAGTGTTGAAATCTCACATGAGCAGAGAAGAGGGAGAAGAAACTGAGACTGTAGAGGTTAGTAGCTCAAGGTTCCTTAATTAACATATTTTGGGGAGACTGGGTCAAAATGATTTTCCAGTGGCCAAGTGTAGGCTCCCCTTTTCATGTTTCTTGTGTCAGACCCTATCTATCACCCTGGCCATGAGAAGTAGGAGGGGTGAATGATCCATGAAATAAAAGTTAGAGCTCTACATAGACACATGATCCAATTTTCCCCTATTGTTACTGAACTTAAGGGGTTTGCTGCTTGGGGTGTTCTATTCAAGAACAATACATGGTTGTTGTTATGTAGTTTTATTTATTTGTAGCAAGTAGAGGAGAAATGTGATTCATATCCGAAGGTTTGTTTCCCCAAGGGAGGCTTAGCTATTGCTTATATCACTATTTGGTTAATTACATGTTGATTTCTTCTTTGCAGTCACAAATTTATCTGTGTTGAGCTCAGGTTAAGATCATCTGGTTACAGCTGCTTCTGCATTTGAACATATAGCAAGAATAGCATTTAGTAAGAATCACTGAGACCTTGACACCCTTGTCCTATGTGATACCATGATCTTTTTACCTATCCCTGAATAGAGAGATCCCTTTTCCTCTCCAGGACTGGGGCCATCAATGTTTGAGTCCTGAACTGCCAGAGGTCATGTTCTCTGGAGCAGAAATAAATTCCACTGATAGTACCAGAGACAAAGCCAAAATGTTGAATAGGCAGAGGGCAGGTCCTAAAGCTTACCCATGGCTAGGTTACCTGAGCACTCCTTGTCCCATACTCCATTTTCCTTGAGTTCATTGGAGTTGGGTTTCTGGCACTGGCAACTGAAAAAGCTGGGACAGCCAGAGCTGCGATTAGAAGCCCAATCTTTTCCACCACAGTCCACATCTGCCCCTCATACCTGATGCTAGTGACAGACCAAGATTACTCCTTGTCTCCAAAAGGATAGGCAGAAAACACAATTTCTTGGTTTTGAAAATAAAATTTTATTGTCCATTCATTTGTATTTTGCCTATGGTGACTTTTGTACTTACAATGATAGAGTTGGGTGGTTGTGATGGAGACCAAATGGCAAAAGCTTAAACTATTTACTCTTTGGCTCTTTACAGAAAAAAAGTTTTCTGACTCCTGCCTAAGTTAGAAGAAAACGATGATGGAGGGAGTGGTAGTGGACGGTGCTGATGCCTTACCCAGATTCCCTTTTCCTGCTCTTGAACTCATATTCCATGCGCTGTGATTGAGTGGTGGCTGCATCATTGGCGTCTAGGCGAAGACCTGATATTTTGACTGAAGTCAGCCAGGAAGTAGGATATCTCGGGTTCTATCTTTTCTCCTCACCTTTGACCTCTCTCATCCTTACACAAAACTTCAAGACTTTGAACTTCCTAATGATTTGATATTCAGGTCCTGTAAATGGTGGATTTTGCCTTTTCTGAGAGAACACATTATTGAGCAAATAAAGGTATGAATAAAGCTACATTTATCAGCTCTTTATTCATAACCTGGTGTTATGCATTTTTGTACTCGCGGAGGCTGGCGCAGAGTAGTTACTTAATGTTTGCTTGCCAATGAGCCAGTCTGTGCCCCGCTGCTGGGCGGGGAAATGCAAGACTGTGTGAGCCTCTCATGTTAGTAGCCTCTGGGAAGAGGGAAAAGATTAGACTAGCACATTTCCTCATAGACAAAGGTGTTCCTGAGCTCTGAACTTAGCCGCTGGCTTGCGTGTGAATTCCATGTTCAGGAGTGGCCAGTGCCTCTGGGTGTGGCAAGGGTGTGGCTGGGTAGAGTTCAGGAATGCATTGTTCCAGAAAATTTATCCAGTTTTTCTGCCTCCCATTCCCTGGCTAGCTGCAGTTTCAGTAATAGAAAACCTGCCCATTAGGGGTTTGCTTTCAGCTGCTATTGCAGTAGCCAAAGGACTCGCTACATTTGAGAGGGCCATTGCCAAGGGCCTAGGAGATGCAATGCACAGACTCAAACCCAATTCTCACCAAGTGGTTAAAGGAGTAATGTCCTGAGTGGGTCATGCCCCTAAATGAAGTCAGGTTATTATTTACTACTAGAGGCCCGGTGCACAAAAATTTGTGCCCTCGGG